AACCTGCAGATAGTGGTGAAGTGCTGCAATTTTTTCAGTGTAGGCCTTTCGTGCGTCCTCCTCATGTTCCAGTCCCCATCTTGTTTGCACAATACACATAGACTTTTCAGGGTAGCACACACGATTAACCACGCTTTGGGCGGGAGTTTCTAAACTTGTGGCAAATACAGCGTGCCTCACCGAAGCTGTGATTCTCCCGGCACGCCATCGGAACCAATCAGGGCTCTTGTGCTGAAGTCTTGTGTGTCCTTCAATAGCTTCTGCCTGCTCTCCAGTAACTGTTGCAGCATTTTTATACCTTACACAGTGCAGCTGTAGATCAGAAAGGCCAAGGTCAATCGATCAATCGCATTCAACTAGACTCAAGCTGACTTACCTTTGTTTGAAAAACGACGTACTCACAGTTTGACTGCTGCTTTTCTACCTCTACAGTAATCACTGCACCTCAGAAGAACCATCTGTGAAACTCCTAAAGTTTGTGGATGACACCACTATCATTGGTCTGATCCAAAATGAGGATAAATCCGTGTATAGTTAGGGAAGCAGATAAACTGGTCCACTGGTGCAGTTAGAACCACCTGAAGTTGAACCCGCTCAAAACTGTGGAGATGACGGTGGACTTTTGAAGAACCCAAAAAACCTTCCCACCTTTTGCCATCCTCAACAATACAGTAGTTACTGTGGATTAGGGCTGCCACGATTTGTCGACTAGTCACGATTACGTCGACTATCAAAATCGTCGACGACTGATTTAATAGTCGACGCGTCGTTTGAAGCTTTGTAAGATCCCAAAAGACGCAGGAATAATAGCAGGATTTAAGAGTGTAATAACGGACTGAAACAGAAGATGGCAGCACTGCATGTACAAGGATGTCAGCTGCCGTTAAAACCCGAAGAAGAAGAAGAAGCAGCTGTGTCTCAGAATTCATAGCGCGGCCCAGCTTAGTTTCCAACAATGGCGGCAGATAGTTAGTTTTAATATTACTCTTATTATTCTTTCTGGGTCACAAAATAAACGTTTAACATATTTTCAGCCGAGAATGTAGCTGTGTAAACCTCAAATATCGGCTCAGTTTATCAGGACACCACATATTTTCAAAAGCGCTCCGACGTTTTCGGAGACGTCTGTTACCCACTAGCTCGATAGCTAGCCGGGGGCTAGGTCACTAGCGCGGTGAGAACACCGGACTCCCGGCAAATTGTTTTCAAACCCACCGCCGTCTTTCGCTACTCAGGTTAAATATATATGAGTCACTTAGATAAATTAAAAATGTTGTTGTTTGGCTTTTTTTTTTTTTAGTATTTTATTTGTTCCTGAGTAAATCGGTTTGTCTGAGATTAAAGTTATAGTTTTTACACAGCTGAATAAACGTCAAGCAGACAGCTGATTATCAGAAGTGTGAGATGCTGGAGAATATACTCCGTTGTCCTGTTATATTTTAGATAGCAAGGAGTTTATTAAACTTCACCGAAACAATCTGCAAATTTCATTAAAATTGAATAAACTATCATCTTGTCTTTATTTTTAGTTAGCACCTTAAAAGCTTAAAGCTGTAAGCTAATGATAGTTATATAAGAGCAGATGCTGCTGGTGCAATAAGCTGTAGTTTTACGTCCAGTGGATGATGATCTGATTAGTCGACTAATCGCATAAATACTCGGTGACTAGTCGACTATCAAAATAATCGTTTGTGGCAGCCCTACTGTGGATCACTTCAGATTCCTAGGATCTACCACTTCACGTGATCTAAAGTGCTCCTCACATATAGAATTTGTCTGGAAAAAGTTGTGGCAAGTCAGAAACTTAACCCTGTCATAGGGTCATCTTCTTCACTGCCTTCATCCAGACAGTCCTGTGCAGATCTATCGCTGTCTGGTTCGGCTCAGCCACGAAGCAGGACAGCGCCAGAGTGCAACAGACAATCAGTCTGGAGACAGGATCATCGCTGTGGATTTTCCCTCCAGAAGGACAGAAAACATCTCTGCAGACCCCTCACATAATTTTGATGAGCCCACGTAAATTGTAGCCTCGGTTTCCTGTTCTTAGCGGACAGGTATGGCAGAAGTTGTGGTCTTCTGCTGCTGTAGCCCATCTGCTTATAGGCTCGACAAATGTTGTGTTCAGATACGCTCTTTTGTATACTTTGCTTGTAACAAGTGGATATTTGAGTTATTGTTGCCTTCCAACAATGACACATTGCTGCTGGCCATCTTGCTGTTTTTATTTTTCTAGCTTATGGCAAAACCCTTAACTTCAACCCAGGATCTGACTGAAGGCCTAAGCACTAAATCTTTTAAGGCAGCAAATGGTGCTGTCTCAGTAGTATTTGAGTGTGAATTCATAAGGGCTCAGAATGATATGAATCTCGACAACCCCAATAGTTTCTTGATACTTGCAGTTGGATTGGAAGTTAAGATTGTTTACTTTCTTTATGGTGAAAGAATTTAATTGTTCCATTTGAAACCTTGCCTTGTTTACGTGGATAGCAAATAAATGTCAAACATCAATGACGAGCCAATGAAGAAAAAAGGTAAACAAACTCAAAATGTAATGAAGGGCACGCTACAGTCATCTGTAATCTCTTTGTTGGTTTTAAATATCTACCTGGATGTGAGCTTGTTTACATCGTAATTTTCCACAGTTTTTTCTAAGACATCTACTCACTCCTGTATGGCATAACATGTGGGCAAGGACTTTAGGCAAAATTTGCAGAAACACTCATTCAACCCTCAGCCTTCATGGACTGAGAAGACTCAAAGGCCAATTATACCTGCACGCTGCTTGTCTGGGTGGCGACACCTATCATTTGTAAAAGAATACTTCAGCAAATTCTCACGTCCTCAGTTCTCAAATGGTGATGGGCTGTAGTGACATTATTGTTTGTGAGTGGTAGAACCAATGCAGTAACCGTAAAAAGCCCCTGAGTCAAAGTCTGTAAGTGTGGAGATTGAATCAAGCCTCTGTATGACCTGGAAGAACCAAAGCCATCACTAAGGTCGGACCTAATTAAATGTTTCCATGAAGGCTGGTACCCATCCCAGGTGAAGCCAGTGAATGTGATGTTATAGCCTGTACAGCTCAAAGTTCCAACACTGGCTCGTACAGACCATCGAGAAGACTCCATTAAGACTCCATTAAGTTCCAATTTCAATTTTGTCACTATTCCCTTCAAGGTACTTTTTATGAGCAGTGCTGCGCCACTTCCAGCAACCTTGCTACTTCCATTTTTTTTTCTATGGATGTTCTGTACTGACCAACTGCATGTTCACATTTTCAGTGCACATTGTATCATATCCATCAAAACAGTGGGCCTCAAACCTGGATCTGAGCGAGGAAGGTGGTTCTGTGATGAATGTGCACAACTGTACAATGGGAAAGTGCCACAGTTCAGATCTTTTGTCCCAAATTTTCTCTCTCGGACCTTTCATAATGTTACAGTCTAGAGATATTTTCCAGGTCTAGTTTTATCTCTTGATGCAATGCCCTCAAAATTCCACTCATCCACTGAGGACTGTCTGTCTCTTGAAGGCACAGCTTATCACCAGTGATGATCCTCAACATGAAGATTGAGCTTGACACCTATTTTGCTCACTGCGCAAATTTGAGGTCCATGAAAAAGTCAAAAATGCAATGATACTAAAGACTTTGACAGTGATTTAAAAATTTCAGATGTCATCTTCCAAGGCTTATATTGATGCAGCACTGTTGGATCCAGACATGTCTTGTCACAGCCTAATCTGGTGAACCAGTCTCTCCCTCTGCCAATCACTTCCAGAGGACCACTTAGCTTTTCTGTCTTGATTTACCATAGTTGATTTTATCATATTGCAGTGAGCTTAGTCTATTGCACTTCAGATTTTCTGGACTGAGTTCCTCCATCCTTCATCAGAGCAGTGCAACATGCCCTGTCAGCATTTTCATCTAATCTTACCAGGGAAGTGCACTTCCATATACCATCCCTGAAGCCAGGACTTTTTAGTAGATTAGCAGGACACTAATCAGAAAGTTGGTGGCTTGATCCCTGGCTGCTCAAATCTGCATGCCAACTAGTGAACCTTGATGCATTCATTGGAGTGTGAATATTACGTAGAAAGCACTTGCGTGCTTGCGCGAATCGATGAATGAGGATTTTAGTATGTAGTGCTTTGAGTGTTCGGAGTAGAAAAGCACTTTATAAGAACGAGACTGCACCTCTTCCACCTAGTCTGTTTATAGATCCTCATCCGAGACATGCCAACGTCAGTCAGAGCTCATGGCCAGCCAATGTACACAGTTTGTCTCAGTCCGAGCTAGTTTCTACTTCCCTTTCTTCCAGACATTGCATTGCCAGTTTCCTGGAGACATGAGACTGTCTTGTTGTTAAAATTCCAAACCAGATCATCTACCAGCCTGGCAATTTTCTTTACCAGAATGGTTCGTTTCAGTTCCTCTTTCCGCTAAGACTAAAATCAAGTGTATTCTTCTTTTGACCAGCTTCCACAGGTCAAAGCCCAAGAACTCTTTAACGAGGCAGTCTGAGAATCAATTTCTGCTTTGATTTTAATGGGGCTGTGCAGCTAGTCCCACTAGAGGAGGATAGGTAGCACATTTGAGCAGTGGTTAGCGCACTGTCGCCTCACAGAAACAAGGTTCTCTGCTTGAACGTTATGGTCAGCCGTGCACTCTGCATGTTCTCCATGTGGTTCATTGGGTTTCCATTTGCAGTCCAGAGACAGCTTTGTTAAGGTTAAGTAGCATCTCCAAATTATCTGTCGCTCAATTCATCTTAGAGAGGGCTCCAGCCCAGCTGTTTAAAATAAATGGACTAGTGGATGGCTTCAGGGACCAATCTTAAAACCAGCCAGCCAGCCTTGTGCCAAAATAACGGAGTGGTTACAGCTGTTTAAAGCATTTCAATAATCCTCTTGATGCCTTCACAAGGATTTATCCAAATAGTTGTTCTGATCTTGTTCTCGCATTTGAAGAACACCAGTATAAGACATCCACTGAGTCACAGGACTGCCATCTGACAAGGTTTATTGTGCACATTCAGAGACAATAACATAACCTTTTTGATTTTGGTCCCCACATGACTATATTTTCTGTATCCTGTTACCAAAGTCCATGTCTTTGTTAGGCATTGGTTTTCTGCTTTGTGGTTTCTGTATGGTCCGAGCCACACAGGCTTAATGTCCACTCTGTAATCATCCGGCAACCACTGGTAATGAGGTTTAAAAAAAAAAAAAAATTTTTATATATATATATATATATATATATATATATATATATATATATATATGCTTTGACATCGATTGCTGAAGCCTCATTCACATAGGCCTAGGGATCAGTCAGTGATCCACTGGCAACCCCAGGTTGTTTAGGAAAAGTATGTATCCCACAACCAGCTGGTGAGTGGTTGCTGGCAGTCGCCACTGTGTCGGTGACGATTTGTCTGCACCAATTGGGCAATCACAAGAACGTTGTGGATGCAGCACTCTTTGAAACAGATTTCACATAGCATCACCCACAAACCTCTATGAACAACTTGCCAATCCTATGGGAACTACAAAGGAGTCATCCAGGCTCTCTAGGCCTAGGTGACTAAAGTCTAACTGCAGAGGAGTGCTATGGCATTAAATACAGAATATTTAACCTGTCGCTGACTTTAATAAAACCTCTTTATTATGCTTGTGAAAGTCTGGTTGCCAGACAAAACTTACAAAAGTTATCATTCTGTTTCTACCACACATTTATACATTTCTGTGCAATTTAGTTTACATGGAAAAAAAAAAATCCTGTCAAGTAAAAGAGGAAGAAAAAAAAAAGAAAAAAAAAAAGATCTGGGTCTGAAGATCAGGAGCGAACAACACAAATACCTGATCTGGCAGGAGGGGCAAACTTTTTCAACTTATATACACAACAGCTTAAGTCACAAAAAACACATTACATATGATGAGTCAGACAAAACCAACCGTTTGCCACTTGAACTCTCCAAGTCAGTTTGTTGCCCAGTTGTTATGTGGGAAGACATTTACAGGTGTTTGTTTTTGTCCAGCGTACAATATTTCAGTTCCTAACACAAAACAGGTGAAAAGTCATAAACTATCAAAGGCAAAACGCTATGTCTTTTCTGTAACGGTTCAACTAGAGCTGGAACTGATGACATTTGTGCACTGAGGTTCGCAGAAAGAGCCAAAGCGCCCATATACATCTTTGGCTCGAACAGCAAAGTGATACGTGGAGCCAGACTGGAACTGGGTCAGCGTACAGGCCATAGGCAGTGGAAGGGCCTTCACCTCCCCAATTTTCTTCCAGTGCTGCTGAGATGCATTGCTGTTAGAGTTATCTTGATGAAAGGCATAAAGGTGATAGCTTTCTACAGCTGCGCAGGTCCGATCAACTTCTCCAACACACCAGGAGAGCACTATACCAGTCTGACTCTGCACCAGCTTTAGCTGAGGTTGTTGAGGAGGTGAGGTCCGTTCAGCCTCTGGGGGTAAGCGTGATGGTGCGGGTGCAGGAGGGAGCGGTGGAAGCGCCATGCTGGAGCCTCGAGTTGGTGTAGTAGTAGTGGTTACACTGCGGGATTTTAATGGAGTATCCTGCAAAAAAAGAAATCTGGTGTCACAGCTTGTTCTTTCCTTTTAGTTGTGGCAAAAGGATCATTCGTGCTTGGATAACTCCCAAAACAGCTAACAGCTGTAGTTTTCAACAGAGAAAAATCTAATAATAGCTTTAGAAACCAACCATCAGCAAATCATGTTAAAATAACAATTCACCAAGACTTAAACATTGAAGTTACAGAACAGAAAAGTAGTGAAGTGCCTGTGTGAGAAATATTTAGAATCCAGTTCTAAAAGCTCACCACCACTGGGGGGCGGTGATGTACTGTCAACTGAGGATTGCCAGAACTGTTCTGATTGCTTAGAGGGGATGCTCTTGCTCCTGTATCTGAAAACAAAAACAAAAGCAAACAAAACAAGAAACTCAGATTATATGTATAAGTTAGAATTAAAGCACAGGATACATATGCATAGGCATCTGCCTAAATTACTAGATACTTTATAATTTGCCAGAGTGATAAAATTTGTTTAGTGTAATTTGGTGCTCTTACTGTTGTGGATGCTGATGACTGGGTTAGTGCGTGGGCTCGGTGAGGGAGTTGTAACAGTAGCATTCTTCACTCCAGTCACTGAAAACCATAAAACATAACATAATTAGCCTTAATAACATATATTAGGGGAAGTAAAAACAAAACAAAAAGTTCGCCAACTCTAACCTTGGACATCATCATCGTCCTCGGTGAGGTCAATTACGGAGCCTTTGGGTCGTGCCGCTGGTGCAGCTGCTTTAGATGCAGCGGTTACTGTAACTTGGTTGTCTGAGAAATACAAAACAATCTAAATTTAGTACCAAGTTAAGGAAAATGAAATGTCAGCAGCACCTCCGTGCTCTTCAGTCATCCTCACCTGTCTTTGATGTCAAAGACATCCCCTGTGGAGGTCCTGGAGCAGTGGATCCGGTTGCTGCTGGCCCAGATGTTGTAGGTGAAGAGACTGAAGACATGGCCCCGACTACAGAGACAGACTGAGCTGGTGTCCTGGCCGTGGTCACAGATACCCCAGCATGGGGTGTAGTTATTCCACTTGCACCGCCTTGATACACAGCACGAGCAAGAGAGATCTGGCCAGAGGACATCTGGGCACTGGAGCCATGGAGGGCTGGGACAGTGGCCACGGCTGGTGCCGAGGCTGTGGCTGTGGTCGTGACAGGTGCAGGCTTGAGTATAAACGTGGCGGTAGAAGCAGTGGTTTTGGACTTGTTCAGTGAGCTGGCTGCAGACAAAGACGAGACGGGGATGTTGACCAGTGTCCCTGCCTGGCCGTTCACTGATAAAGGCAACTGGATGAGAAGCGGCTGGCCTGTAGCCATCATGCTACTCCCAGAGGCAGTCTTCAAGAGGAGGGTGCCCGTTTGACTCTGGGTGGTACTGCCAGTGGCCAAGGTGGAGGTGGGATTAGAGTTGGAAGTGATCAGCTGGAGGATAGGGGTCTGCTGAACCATGGCAGTTGAAGTGGAGGTGGGAGTTGGAGCTGAAGCTGCAGCAGGGGCTGAAGCTGCGGCAGGGGTTGCGGTAGGAACTGGAACTACTGGGGGGGGAAAGAGACTTGTTAGAAGAGACTTGAAAATATCTGCACAGGGTACACTTTTGCTCAAAAGACTGTCAATCATTTGTTAATTGCTAGTAAAGGTGATGGCAGTTAAAAACCCATCCCAGCATGACATGGACAAAAGATTTTGAGACATCTATGCAAAAATACAACATGCAGACAAATTCAATGACACTTTTCCACACTGCTCCTGGAAAACATGAAAGGTAAGATGACCTATTTTCTGTAATTCTGTCATGGTCAATAAACTTCCAATTACAAACATGGCTTCTTAACAGGAATAAACATTAAAGAGCAGCCAGAAGTTTGATACGCTCACTTTCGCGGTGTTTCTGTAACCAACTCAATTAACATTGCTGAAAATTAAAACTAGGCAATATTTTTTTCCTATATATAATTGGCTACATTGTAAACACTTACTAAGAAGTCGACTGTTTTCTTATTTCTGAAGGTTTCGGTGTATTGTGAAAACTAAATAAAAACAAGACTTCTCCAAAAAAAATTGTGAAAACTAATCAAAATAAAATAAAGAGTGTAGGAGAAAGTTTAGTACTTATAATGTTTGGTAAAAATTGTATCCATTTTCAGAAAGTTCAGTGTTTTTTGATTCTAACTGCTGTACTGATTTTCTTAAATCTTGTCTCGGACATAAATAATTATAAAGATCCAAACTAAGTGTAAAACAAATAAATACTAAAACAAACTAACTAGACGGAATTTTAAACAAAAGGTTAAAATGAAAGAAAAATAAAAACTAATTAGAAAATACAGAACTATAATAACTATAACACTTTCCTGAAGAAAAAAACAAAAAATAAAGAATAAAAAAAGAGGCTTTGACTCTGCTGTTTACAAAAGTCTCACCACTATTTGCAGCACATGCAGCAGAGTATGCATCAGAACTGAGCAAACTATGGTGCAAAGTTGAGCCATGTCTTCAAAATAACACAACAGTTAGGTTTGTGAGGTAAACTATCAGATCTGCCATAAAGAAATCTGCCAAATCAAACATGCAGGGATCTCTGCTGTGGAAACCGCTCATAAATAACGAAGCAGACAAAAGCAACTTTCTGTTGCTAGAAAGTAAATAGATAAGGACAAGTCTAATGTGCCATTTGTTTAACTGTGTAAGTATGCATTAGGGATATAGTATACTTTGTCTATTATTTGAAGATCACTCTAAACTGTTCTGAAATGACTGCATTGTTGTGTCAAATCCTAGCTTTATCTGTCACAGCTTGCACTGGATCCCATTTTCATTTATTGTTTAGCCAATACACCAATACCTGAATTTGTACTACCTAAAACCTGGGAATAGGTCCCAAATATCCAACACTGGTCAGGCTTCAAGTACACACAAAGAACGAACAACATGCAAACCCACATGAAGAAAAAAGCTAAAGTTTCAAAACTCCCACAAGAAGCCATTAATTCTGTCAAAGAACAAACAAACAAAACGTACACAACATTTACCATAAAAAAAATTAAAGACAGATCTTTGTTACTCACCTGCTGTGCTGGATGAAGAAACAGTTGTGGATGTCTGCTTTACCTCCATGGAAGTCCAGCCTGGCCTGTTTAGAAAGATTGCTGATACTTAGAGTTGTTGACACTTGAAGTTGCTTATGTCCTTTACAGGATGAAGAGTGAATGAGGTAAGGTGTTGACATTTAGATTTATTCCATGTAACACAGTCATCTTTGTGGTAGGAACGAGAATCAAACTTAAAGCGTGTGTCCGAGTTTTCACAAAATCATTCATCGTTATTTAACTGCAGTTCGCTCTCTTCAAGCATGGTGCCAACTTCACAAAGTCTGTCAGCAGAGATTAATATCCTTTTCAACATGATAATTTTTAAGAACACCTACAAAGATCTAAGTGACTGGAGGGTGATATTTTGACAAAATGTTTATATATGTTCTACCACGAATAATGACAATTGTCCCAGTATGCTTCAGTTCCTGTGGCGTTCAAGCGTCAAAACGACATGCCAGTTCTTTCCTCGTACTCTCGAAAAAACTCCGGCCTTCTCTTTACTCGCAGTATTTCATTGATAACGTCTCGAATTTCTCTCCACTTCTCACAAGACAGCACAGGAAATCGACGCTCAATGTACATCCTCATCGCCCTCCTCAAGTTTACGGGCAAGGCCTCTTTGCCCAATAATCCAACGTAGTTGACCTTTGCGACCCAGTCACAGTAGACATCGTATGGCACTAAGTAGCGGAAAATGTACGAGGCGTAGCGGTCAGGTCTTGGGTTCCCTGAGCTTCTCTTGCAGTTGTGGTAGAGCACGTTTTCCAAGTGCGAGGGAATCGTGCGGAGTTTAATGTCTGCTCTGCATTTCCCTTCATTGTACTCTGCCAGCTTTCTCGCCATGGCAACATGGCGGGACATATCTGCTTCCTCTTCCTCCTCCATTTCCTCGTCTTCTCCCTCCATCTTGACAGACAGTGCCGGAGTCTTATCAACAGAGGGCACCAATCCCTCTCTGGGCACCTCAGGCTGCGGCTCTATTGTCTGTCGACGGAGCACGCTGTTGGGAGGAGAGGTGCAGTTTTAACTACACTCTGCACTGCCTGAAGAAACGCTCAGGCTTCATATTGTAGAACGTCACAAGACTCAGGACCTGGACCCATGTGGGGTTACTTTGCAGGTGCAAAACACACACTGGGGCATGTGTTTGTTTATTCCAAACAAGTCTTTAGAAATATTTGGAGCGAAATTAAGACTTTCAAAAAGATGGTCCTGACAAACCGAACAAGGGACATGGATTCTTGTTTCCAAAAAAGTATGGATTTAGAGGACGTAAAGATTGATATTCTGTCCATTTGTTTGTAATCTAGTGATTACACTTAGCAACCCGGGACAATGTCAACTATTCACAGTGTAACGGTTTCGTGTGTAGTAAGTACTTGCTTTAGTCCGGTATTGTCACGTTCATACAAAAGCAAAATTATATTCACACAAAATATCATCATGCACAAACTGCTGTATGATTCAAAGATTACATGTTTAAATACACTGATGCTGTCAGTTTTGAAACCTCAAAATCAGACTGACAAGTGGACTGTCAAAAGGTGTTAACTTCCACTGAAGGGACTAAAATGTCTTTTAAAAAAGCCATGGAGATTTGCCTCTCAAAAACATGACTTAACATACAAAGCATAGCTGACAGGGATCTAGACTGAAAATGAGTCCTGAACACTTACCGCTGAGCTTGAGGGTTATTCGTAACCGCTGCCGTTTTGGCAGCAGTAGCAGCAGCAACAGCAGCAAGTGCCTGTAGAAAACAAATAAGAAGTTTCAACATTTTTCATCACCTGCATGCCAAATGGAAACATTTTAACAAGTTACAAAAAAAACATCTTACCTCCTGTTTCCTTTTATTCTCCGATACCTGATTAGCCTCTCCAAACTTTTTTGATAGTCGGGCAATCTTGGCCTGAAGAGAAACACCAAGTAGACTTTAGATACTTGTCAAATGGAAGCAGAGCATCTTCCAATGCCCAACATGTTCTCCTTATGGGACAAATTTAATTTCACATAAAAAGTTAACCTGCACTCACTTGGAGTGTGTTAATGGCAGCTTGGTGTTTAGTGGCGCAGTCAATTTTGTCTACTCTGTCCTTCAGCTCTTGGAAATGTTTGTCGAAAATGGTGAGCTCCAACACCTTCAATCGCTCCTCCACTAACTGCTGCACAATCTGCGAAGAAGAATGAGGTGAAAGGGATGAAATGTTAGGAAAATTGGTGAAGAGAAACTTATATTTATCCAAGCTCAGCTATATCAGTCAAAATTATTATAATTAAGGCCACAGAGCACTGTGAAAAAAATGAAGTCGGCATCAATTATGCTGTATGTGTGAATGGATTTAATGCAACCAGTGTTTAAAAGCTATTAGAGTAAAAGCATATCTGAATACTCGAATACAAACCTTCCCGAGTTTATGATGACTGCCAGCTTTTGTAGTAATTTTAAGTTCCAGTTGGGCCTCCAACTCCTCACGGTCCATCTTGGGCCTCTTACCCTCTATTTTTACAGTTTGCCCATCTTTTTCAGAGCCCTCCGATAAAGTGCGTTTCAGTCCCGAGGTTGAGCTCCTCTCCTCTTTCACTGCTTAGCAAACAAAGACAAACACCAAAATATTTAAACTTAACAGAGAACCAGTAACAGTTACTTTCAATAAGAACATTTGTTGGGTCTCCCTTTCAGTGACCCGGGGCCCTCAAAAAGAACTGCATACCTCTGAAGGCTTTATTTTCTGTTTCTATTGATACTGCCATTATGAACGCTGAAGTTATGTAAAAGCTGATCAGAGGTTAGTTAGTAATTGAATCAAAGGCATGTCCTAATATAAACTGAGTCCATATTCATATGGACTTTACCAGTGGTTCCTTACTCTGTGACGCCGTTTTTACAAGCTAGCAATAAGAGCCGTTGTTTACATGGTTAACATTTTTCCAGTGTTTACACCTGGTGTTTTTTTCTTCTTCTGTTTGTTTGACCAATCAGCATATGAACTGAAGTCTAAACGAATCCCTGTAAACTTACAAAGGGTCCTCTTGTGCTGGATGAGTCCCTACCCTCAAGTAAAAACAACACCAAATATAGAGTACTAACTGCAATCTTTTCCTACTCCTGCAGTCACACAGAAAAAAGGCACAACTTCCTCCAACTCCAAGAACTGCGAAAGAGTTCCACGTATCAAACTGCAATATCATCCAGGAAATTTATTGCAGTAAAATCCTCAAATGATAAATTTCCTGTGACAATTTTCCGAAAAAGAAACCACCCAACTTTTCCCTTCAGGATCAGAGGAAGCCGATTTATCCCATGGTAAAGTATGCAAGGATTCTGCATTCTGACTTGAAATCTTATCAAATCATTTATGTTTTGAGTACAGTGTTACATTATCCTATTCACATGTCATGTAGTATATAATTGCTTTTTGCGTTGCAACATCCACCATCTCATACCTGTATCAGATGGTGGAGTGGACGATGGTCGAGATGGCTTTGAGGCTTGTCCCACATTAGTTTTTTCCTTTTTGGGCTCCACTTTTACAGAGCCCACCTCCATCTTTTCCTCACACGTCAAGCCTTTCTTCACATCCGCTTTGTCAGTCTCTTCTTCTTTTATGTCATCTTTGATTTCCACTGATTGTTTTTGGTCCGCACAAGAAGAAGCTGGATTGGGTATAGAGCAAGAAGATGAGGAAGAATCGGAAGTGGTACATTTAGGAGAAGAAGGCTTTTCATCTGGTACTTTGGCTGTGGAAGCCTCAGTGTCCATTTCCTTTGTAGTGTCACTATCTGTTTCCATTGGTTCTGTGAAGTCAGATACTGCAGGTGGCACAGGTGTATCCAAACCTTTCAGTGGGTCCACTGCCAAATCTACAGCTGGGTCCTCTTCTACAGTGTGGTCCTCCTGAGAAAATTAAAAATGATAACCAATTAAACGTTTTTCGGGCTCTCCACTTTCAATACGAACTACAGTATAAACTAATTTTTTTAAATAAATATAAAGGTATCTGACAGTTTTGTTCATGTTTCCATGCATTTACCTTCTTCTTTTCCTCAGCTGGGATCACCTCAGTGTCTTTTTCCTGTTGTCCCTTGCAGTCTGTTCTAGCTGTGACAGGTTCACTTGATGATGATGGTGTGCCATCTTTCTTCTCATCTTCTTCTACCTTTTTCAGTTCAAAATTTAGAGGATCCACTGGTGATCTCGGAGCAGTCATTTCTTCGAGTCCTTTTGGACTTGAAGAGGGAGGGGAAGGAGACAAATTTAGGGACAGGGACGGTGTGGGAGAGCTCAGAGCGGTCGGAGAGACGGGTGGTGTAGTCTGGGGAGTGTTCAAGTCCAGGATGTTGTTTTGCTCTTTGTCGCCCACTTTTTGTCCGTCCTCTTTATGTGTTCCATTCATCAGAGGTGGTGGAGATGGGTTGGACAAACTTGTACCCACAGTGAGCAAAGTGCTGTGCAGGTTCTCCAGCTGATGTCTATCACTGATCTTCATGGTTTTCCTGGCGCGGAAAATCTTCTTCTTCTCTTCTGTCACAATAACTTCCATCTTTGCCTGTGGAGTAGAGATAATAGATAACATGCATTCAGAAGGGATTAATGAGAACAGACAACACCCAGAGCTGTAAAAGTTAATGGCACAGTGTCTTCCGCTAATTAACCTTTCCTGATTCTGATCTTTACGCATTGCACAGTATTGGGTGCACCGTTTCCGAGAAAACACTAGAGGACACTGCAGAGCTCTTTGGCATTAGCTTTTTCTTTCTGGAAGGTTCTTCTGTCACAGCTGTCTCTGCACCAAACTGATGGTTCCTTAGCAGCCCGTTCCTTTACTACAAATTTAACTCAGCATCCAAGCCAAATCACACTCATCCATCTGATTACACATTGCTTCATCTGTCCTACAGTGACTTAAGTCAACAAGCAGCTCAGTAAGCCAGGAAACCTTTTTTCATGGTAGTCAGAAAAGCTAAACTTGCTTCTGCAAATCCCCTCTACCTCACTTTTCTGAAAAACTACGGATTTCATGTTTACCTAAGCCCCAATCCTGAGAACAGAAGTGGCACGAGTTAACAACAGCAGCAGCTCAACCTTCCTCCCATCCCCCCATCCTCCTATTGGTTCCCTCGTCAGCAAATCAGAACGGACCCATTCAGGCTGTGCTGGCAGCAGCAAAAGGGTTATGCAAAACATGAAGGACTTTCCGTATAGTTGTGATTGTTGTGCACAATTTACTGTTAAGGCTAGTTGTCACATTCTACAAGGATTCATTTCATGTCTACTTATTTTATATGCGTGGAAGCATGTGTTGATTTTACCTTCATTTTATGGGTGTCAGAAGTAAAAATGAACCTGAGCTGTGTGCAGGAGATACTTTACTTGCAGTAATTTTCTTCTTTTACACTCATGTGTTATAATATTAAGTAGCATAGAAAAAGTATTTAGAACTCACCTTCAAGCCAAAGGGTTCCTGACAATGGACTTAATACAGGACTTGTCGACAACCTGAAGGACAAATGAGAATAATTTGTTAGCAAATGTCTTAGTAACTTGAGCTCTAACTGTCTCTTTGGCTTCAAAGTGATATATTTTTCCAGGTCAATATGAATTGCATCAACTAAAAGTGCAATTATGTCAATTACTGTATTTTTTAACATACTTATTTATATCCAGATTTAAAATAGCATACAGTAAAGTAGACTAAGGACACTAAATCCCGGATTTTGATAAGACTGATGCTTCTTCCTTACATTTGTTTCTGCAGTGTAAAATTATCGGTCGTGACCAGCTTTCGCTTACTCGTGCTGGTAAAGCAAATGAAATTGCCTTAATTTGGAATTTTTTAGGAATAGTATTTATGACGTGACAAAACTCGAAACTATTTTTTTTTTCAAAATTCAGTAACTCACAAGGCAAAAATTACTCAAAGGTAAACACAATAACGTAATATCACAATTATATTTTGGGCGATTATTCAGTTATCTGCAAGCAAGAGGCTTAAGAAGAACACCAATAGAGTGGTGACAAACTGGTGAAGGTCGCCAAAGTGGTGACAAACACACAAAAGGTTAACACAAAAGGACGCAAAACAGGAAAGTGGTTTGCCAGAATGATGGACAGAAAAAGATGTTTTACTGCAGAAAGGTTGAACTTAAAAAAAAAAACCAAAAAACAAAACAATTATGTACAGGTAAGAAGAAAAAAACAAAAACATGCAGTCACTGACAGTTTTGTTATATTTTTGGTCTTATTTTTCCCCCAGCTGCTAAGATCAGACTGTCGCTTCTAGTGGTAAAAAGCAAAAACAGACATTCAGATGGTAGGAACCTCAAACAGCCATGTCTTTATACTGGTTTCAGTGCAAAAACACAACATAAAAAGTGGTTACTACATGAGAAACCTTTAAACTCCGACCAGGAATGAGCAGTAAGCCGTGTCAGTTTCACACTGTAAACTTGGTTAGCTTTACTGCTACTGCAGTACTCACATGGTGCAGAGAGAACCGAGGGAAAACAGCCTCAACTTGCAAAAATCTCTCATTTAGCCTTGTGTATGTTGAAGCTTAGCAGGCTGCCACATGTATATGGAAAAACACAAAGACTAATGTGGACTGAGCGTATAGCTCCAGCTTTAATGCTGAGCAGCACAGTGAGATGTTTGTACACACGTTCAATATGTTAGGCCTTCCCTACTCTGTTTTTACATGAGCATGCATGTTTCTTGCTGTTTTCCTTCCTATTGTTCTAAAAATAAGTAAGGCAGCATTTCAATACAATTGCCTAAAAAAGATCTGACCTGAAAAACAAGAAGAATCAGAAAAAAAAACTCCTAAAAAAGCGTTCACAAATATGTGGAGCAGTGAAAACTGCAAGAACAATTATTGGTTTGCTTCACATTCCAGTGTTACTGCACACTGCGCAGAGCCGACTATCCCCCTCCCCCGTCCCACGGCCTCATTTACTGCTCCTGGATTTAGTGCAGGAACTCAAAATGGCCGCTGGATCTGTTGTTTAATGTCAGCCCGAGCTCTCAGTAGCTAGCTGAGAAGGATTCTCATTCAGGTGTATCAGGTTGCAGCACAACTCTGCTTAGCAAGAGTTTTCTATTCAGCCTGACACTTCGGCAAGCTGTCACATTGTGAACAAATTGTAGAACATTTAAAGAAAGTGCTAATTAAGCCAAACATAATCTCAGTTATTTGCTGATAATATTATTAAAGTGATCTTTAAATCCAACCTTTTTATTGCTATAAAACAAGCAGAAAAAGTATTGAGTCGATTTTGTCAGGTTTTATTATTAATCATTGTTATGGTCTTTAAAAATGTACACAGACTGTAAAAAAGCGCAGTTCTGTGTATAAACGCTCAGTGCATAGATTTTTAATAGTTGCTTGCAGCTACGAGAACTAGTCATCTTGCCCCTGTAAAGTGCAGAAAGCAGTCATAACATGTATGAGTAGCATCAGGGTGTGGCATTTAATCTTCACTCCAAATTAGGCCAAAAAAGGTAAACACTATTTTTAAAAAAATTATTTATCCTAAATCAGCAGAAACAGCACAACGTTAATCAAACTTCACACAACAGAAACCCATAGGAAAGCCAACACATGAAGGTTTATAGATTGGAATTCAAATCACTAAATGACGATTCATACAAGTTGTGAATGTTTCCCAAGAGAGAATCCACTGACTACTGAAACAGCAGACACCCACTGTTTCTGTGTCCTTAAAAACACAACTATGTGATTAAACCGAGTTCAAGGATCTTACTATGCACAGATGCACTTTTTAATTTAACACTTGCGTTTTATTTTTGCAATGTTTTCTAAGCCAGGCTATGACTAACAGCTTACTAAATATGAACAGCAACTGCTTCATTTATTTGAAGCTACAGAGGGTGCATCAAAGGAAAGAGCCATGGAGAGATATTCAGACTCCATCCTTGGACTTAAACAAATCTTTACTCCAAGTTACAAAATAGCTGCTCATTCCTTTAGAAGTATTCCTTGAAACTCACTGTGTCAGCCCCCGATAAGCGGTCATTAAACTGCCGATTACAAACTCTGTCAATCTCGACTACAAGCATAACTACTTCCAAATAAAGCAGAAGCAAGGTCACTTGCTTTGAGAGACTGGAGAGGAGTTTGTGTTGCAGCAAGAAAACCTCTAACCTTCTTCAGTCTTTTAGCAGCCAAGCAAACAATCAAGACTTGACATTCATACTTTGTGGTTACATGCAACATCAAAACCTTCTCTTTCAGAACATGGAAGAACATCGCTGGTACAGATGGAAGACACGGTCATACTTAATGACATCTTGATCATCAGTTTTCAAGACAACATAAGACAACCTGGCTTAACATCTTGGCCTTTCCACCAACACACGCTGTCGAGCATGTTTGTGACGAAGCGCGAAGTTATTCATCGTCACATCTCTGGCTGACCTACAGATTTCAGTTAATGTTAAATCCCTCGTTACTTTGTTTGTTTGTCCACTGTGCACCATTAAACACTAGAAACAGTGTGTGAGTGTACCACGGGTCAGCATGAACAAATAAACCAGTGAGTTCAAAGAAAACACACGTGTTTATCAGCAACTCAAGCCAAGAAAGCCCGCTTTGGACTAAGACAACACAGTTGGGCAGCTGTGTTATTACAGTATATTGTTATTTGAGATTTACAACTTACATTTTGAGGGGATGATGACAGACTGTCGAAATGCTACCTTTTTGAGTGAAGTAAAAAATCTTTCTTTCTATTAAAATAAAACATAGTTAAAAGATCTTCTAGATCTTCAAGTTAAAAAATCTCATTAGGAGAACTTGAGATCTCTTAAAAAGACGTCAACTTAAATAACAGAGAGACTCTAACTGTTGAAATACTTTAAAAACTAATTTAAAAACCCACAATTTAAAAGCAGGTTATGTAGGATTGGGGCCTACTGACTGTGAAGCAGGCACTGGGTAAGAGGCCAACAGCAGACTACAAAAGAGAGGAGGGGCTCAGTTAGGACCAGTCCATCAAGCACATTGCAGTCATATAAAGTCTTTATAAAGTCTGTACTAGCTATTAATTAAACCATTTTCAAATGAAAAGCCTGTTGAGCACTCCTGACACAGCAACGTGTCTTGTTGCATAACATGAGCCGCTAAATTTTTTCCTCCCTTCCTGCTGTCACAGTAGCAAGATTTATTTACAGCTTGCCATAAATACATGCAAGTTTAATCCTTTTATCATTTTTAAATGTAGGGTAGTGATTATCAAGGCAAGGCAAGGCAAGTTTATTTGTATAGCACAATTCAACAACAAGGTGATTCAAAGTGACAACACTAGCTAGCAGCGCACAGACAGAGGGAAAGTACCCTGCACAGACTGTTGCATGGCAACACCCATCCCCCAACTCTAGCACAAACTAGTCCACTGTATGGAAATCTACAGCCAGCACGGGACAAACCATTTTAACAAAGGGCAGGGGGGGGGGATCTGTCCTTTTATTAAAAACATCACCGGCAGAGGACATTTATGATGAAAAGGTTAAGGGCATTATGTTTATTTGAAAGCACAGTATTTTATGCTGTTCTGTGCTTGCAGTGTTAAAAATATTAAACTGTTTCAATCCACTGTTTTTATGCAATTAAAAATATTAAGCCCTTTCAGGGAAAATTTTACTGCTCCCTCTGGGCTCTCTGCTAAATCTTTGATAGAATTAATCTGAACTGGATACATATATGATCGGCCATGGTTTACTCCAATAACCTGAGGACTTGCTGTTCTTGAGCTGAGCACCGTGTTAGCCACAGTTTTCAACGCTCTCTAATGACTCCTGAGGACCGGAGTCAGACTGTAACATAATCTCACAGGACTCTTCTTGGCCATGCTAAATGCCACACTTTCACACAAAATGTTGAATTTATTAGAAACCAGGGAGGGGGAAACAATAGCTGTTTTAAATTCTTTCCATCGCATAAGTATTTACAGGCGGTGCACTGGTACCTTAGGGATAGGTCTCACAGAAAGCAGTAATTTTGTAATGTTTTCCTCAAGACAAAACATGCAAAAAAAAAAAATAAACCCTCCAAAAAACCTTAAATAAACATGAATTCATATTGTTCAGATATAAACAATTTAAGCCATGTATAATGTAGACAGTGTGCACACGCTAATCAGGATCACATTTCCTTTCTGTTCAGTGATAAGATGACCATACATTTGCAGGATGTGTTAAGATCCGATGAAAGGTAGAGGCACCAAAAGGTTTACTGATTTTTTTTAATTTGTTGAACTATTTCAAAACCTAGAGCCCTGCACCATCTCCACAGACATCCTTTGGCTTAGTATTCACTGTATTCACACTTTCAAAACAGAACTGGAAAAAAAAAAAAAACCTAAACCTTTAGACTGTTAAGGCTGAAACTGAAAATCAAACTGAGTGGACCAAACAAACCCAAACAGCTCAATGCGCCAAATCTCTAAAAAAAAAAAATTAACAAAAGCCTCAATACTAAA